AAGCTGCACTTTCATGACAAAGAGATTGCACTTCAGTACTTGTATGAGGTGAATTGAAAAACGATTTCTTTTGTTTATCATTTTTACAGTGCAAATATTTGTAATAAAAAATATACACTTTGATTTCAATTACAACATAGAATATAATACAGTATATATGAAAATGTAGAAAAACATCCAACATATTCAATACATTTCAATTGGTATTCTATTGTTTAACAGTGCAATTAAAACTGCGATTAATCGTGATTAATTTTTTTTAATCGTGATTAGTTTTTTGGGGTTTATTGCTTGAGTTAACTGTGATTAATTGAAAGACCTAATATTTACAAAACCCAACACCACTAGAAATGGTTTCATGGGGTTGTTTTAAAAATTCCAGTGTTTTTTTATTGTAGCGTAGGCATACCCTAAACACACTTAAATGGTTACAGCAGCACAGCTGCACTGCACTTCAGTATAGACACTACCTATACTGACAGGAGGGGTTCTCCCATCAGTATAGGTAATCCACCTGCCCAAGAGGTGATAGCTAGGTTGTTAAAAGAATTCTTCCATTGATCTAGTGCTGTCTGTACCGGAGGTTAGGTTGGAATACCTACATCTCTCGGGGGTATGGATTTTTCACACCCCTGAGAGACAGAGCTATGCCCTTGTAAGTTCCCAGTGTAGAAAAATTCACATCCCTGAGCGGAATAGTTAAGCTGAACAACCACTGGCGTAGACAATGGTAGGTCAACAGAAAAATTCTTCTGTCAACCTAGCTACTGCCACTTGGGGAGGTGGATTAACTACAGAGACAGGAGAACCTTCTCGTCACTGTAGTAAGGTCAGGTCTACACTAAAAAAGTAAAGTCGACCCAGCTACATCACTCAGGGGAGTGAAAAATCCACACCCCTGAGTGATGTAGTTAAGCCAACCTAATCTCTGGTGTAGACAGTGCTAGGTTGATGGAAGAATTTTTCTGCTGACCTAGCTACTGCCTCTCAGGGATGTGGATTAACTACAGCGACATGAGAACACCTGTCATCACTGTAGTGAGTGTCTACACTGAAGCGCTACAAAGGTAGAGCTGCAGCTGTGCCGCTGAAGCAATTTAAATGTTGACATACCCATAGGGTCCTAAGCCACTTAGGCACATTTGAAAACTCCACTTATAGTGCTTACTACCATGAATAGGTCCCAGTGAAGTAAAAGTGACTACTCGTTGAAGTAAGCACTATGTTTGATAGCAAATGTATCTGGCACGAGACCCTTAGTTATTAAAATTATTTTAATTTGCATGAGTTTTTATTGGGAGTGTATGTAAAGAAATTCTAGTTGAAGTATATTATTATTTATCTTAAATTGTCCTTTTAACCCAGAAAAATAATTCTGCATTTTGATAGAGGCGTAGGAAAGTGCCAAGTGGCCAAAAATATGGTTATAAAATCCCAGCATGAGAGAGTTAACAGTAACAGCTTCTCTTTTCGCATACTTATCTCCCTCATAGTAATCTTGTGGTCAACTTTTGAAGAACTGTGTCCAAAATAAAAATATTTTTGTACTCCTGACAGAAAATCTTGTAAGAATAAGGACTAATCTGAAAGCTTTCAAAGGAAATAAGTGTAGTTGCAGAAATTTACTACTGTTTCCCAGATATAAAAATACATGTTAAACTTTCTATTGGTTTTCCATGATCAAAATATGGCTAAATGCTAAGTTTGTGTCACTTTAAAGCACTTATGGAAATATAAAGCAAAGAACTGGACCTGTGACATGAAATCTTATTTTGCACATACCACAAGTTAAGCAAATCAGAAATTATTGGCATATGTAATATATGGCTCATCACTCCTTGCCAATTTCAGTTACTTTAAAAATTGGGTAAGTTCCCAAACTGAGAGGTGCTGCAGGTTCTACTATGAGAAAATCTTGTCCTTAATAGTAGGAGTTGTGTTTGGTAGATAGCTGAGCAGAGCCTGCTAAAGGGTCATCAGAAAAGGGTTGTGGGGAGAATGGCTGCATAGCTGGATGCATCTTACTGATGATTTGATAAGGAGCAATGGTACCCTCAAGTCACTAACTGAGAAAGATAACCACAGTGTACTAACTAGACAGCTGGTGGGCACGGCTCTGGAGACAACTGTCCCTTCACTTCTAACAGTGGTTTGCTTCTGTGACCTCTAAAAAGGACATTGTTTAAGGGTCTGCTCCTCCACCTTGGAAGACAATCGGAGTTTTGCCACCGACTCCAATGGGCAAAGGATGAAGCCCCAAAAGAACTCCCTCTCTGCCCCTGCAGCCAAAATGACACAGTTGGGAAGTGTGCTACTGAAGGACCCCTTTCACCTGGTGAAAAGCAGCCCCCAAAACTTGGCACCCATGTTGTGGCCCCAAGACTCAGAGCTTTACCACAAGGGAGGTCCACAGGGGTTGAGATAGGATGGCAAATGGATCCATGTAGTCATTGAAAATATATTGGGACAGACACACTAGAAGACTGTATGCAGCATAAATGACAGGCTGCAAGCCATATCCTTCTGCTTTTAATTCTCACTCAATTAAGTAGTACATTCTTCTTCTCAATGTGCAAATTTAACCTCTTCATCTTCTCATGCTGCACATTTTTTCCTCTTCCTGTTAAGGAAGTTCTGTTTAACGAGGTAGCAGGCAAACCTCACCAATTCAGATTCTCATTTCTCATAAATCCCGAGAAGTCTGGATACTTATCAGAATTTATCCAAGGGTTTCAAAGTTCTCTTCTTTCCCTTATCTCTTAACTCCCTCTCCTCACTGCATCCTTCTGCTCCCATGATACCCAACTTTTCCCCAAGAGAATTCTCCACTTACATCCTATCTCCCAATCACTTGACTCCCAGCTTCCTGTTTCCTTGCAATTCCCAACAGCATCCTCTTCACTCACCACACCCTCCCACCATCAGGTCTTTTAGAATTAAATTAGAATATCACCATCCAGAGCATGTGAGATCTCTGTGTAGAAGCTGGCTCAATGCTTAGGAGGCATTAAAATGGACCTTCTAGATTATACAATAGGAAAGACTAGAGGGGACAGCCAGATGGGGTAGCTGTGGAGAGGGGTTATGGAGACAGAATGTCTATTAGATAGTTGCAGAGAAACAGAATTTGGGAGCCAAAGGGGAGGGAGTCTTTTATCCTAGTCCACGCTGACAAAATCTTAAAAACAAATCTAGTGTCAGTTAAAAGAATGGCTGAGGTGTGGGTCAATTGTTTATGCAGAAGTAAGTGGTCTATCTGTAGCTGAATGCAGGTAGGACAATAATTGTTTGGATAATTTGTATGTGTATCGAATGCTTTGCGCACATGTTTTGGCTATGCCATGTTGTGTCACCCACTTACGTATGGACATTTTGGTTGTATCTGTATGAATTCTAGCAGACTGGATATTTCAGTCCCAGCCCATCTCTTATTAGAATATCTATCAAGAACTTTCCTTAGGTTTTTATAATACCAGGTCAACTTCAGTAATGTGTATCTTCATGGAATAAATAGAAGTACATCAAGAATAAATTTGGCTTGATATTGGGAACTCCTGGAGTTTCCTGTCCCCTAAGCAGGAGCAGTGGGCTAGGGGATGATATGGACCCACGAGACTGAAGTAAAGGTTATTATGTACAAACAGATGCAAAACCCATTTTATGACCTCTTTCAAATCTCAACAAAGAACGTCTAAAGCTTTTGCTTTGAAAACCTGCGAAGAAACGGATGAAACAGAAGTGTGACCAAGTCCTAGGACTGAGAGTGCAATAAAACCACACCTGAAATGATTTATTGAATGCTATCAAATACCTTCAGATATTTCCCCCCCCAAAGAGCTCCTTAACTGCAGGTTTGGTGGAAGCACAAATGCAATCCAGAGCAGCTTGCTAAGAAACAATTACAGAGGGACACAGATGTCAGCATAGGGGAAAAAATAAATCCGAAACAAATAAAAATGTAAATACAAACCCCCCTTATCGAAATATTTGCTATTGAATGTAAGCAAAGAGCTGGTAGGAGGCCTGTGGAGAGGAATACAATCATTCTTATCAGCACTGAGACAAGGTACAGATCCTCTGCTAAAGATTTACACTCCTGCTTCTGCAAGGCTAAAAATCAGAACTGAACTACTCTATGATTTCACTGAGAGTCATATGCATGATAAGGTTGCCTGAAAAGCTAGTTGTTTAACTGAGCCTCATATTAAATATAACCTCCAAGATATTGGAAGAAAGGGAGCTTAGAAATAACAACAACAAAAGAATGAGAATCTTTTTGTAAACAGACTGTGTTCATAGGCCTGAAAACACTCTACAGTATACAATAGGGGTTGGAGTACAGAGAAAAGAAAGACAAAACAGAAACTAAATAGAAGGTGGAGAAGAATGAAATAATGGAAGAAGATCATTTCATTGAGAATTATTTGCTTGTAAAGCTCTGAGCACACTTTGGGTGCTGTAGATGTGGTACAAAGAATATTAAAACAAATACCACAATGGAACAAACAGTTTACAAGAGAAAAGTAAATGTAGAGAGGTGGACAAAGCTCTGGGAGAAGCCCTGCAGAAAGAACAACAGGAATGGATGACTTTGAAAAGTAGAGACCAGTAGTTATGTGGAGAGGAAAAAGAGAGAGAAGCACAATCTAGAGTACCTTTAACCTCATCCTGACTCCTCCATCCCTCTGTTTGTTACATCCACTTGCTGTGGCTCTTACTTCGTGTATGTACAGTGTCCAGAACAAAGGAGCCCTGATCCTGTCTGAGGCTTTTGGGAATAACAATAATAATAAACCCTGAACTATGGTGTCATTTAAAATTTGAACTTGAGTCCCTGAATCCAGAGCAAGAATTTGCAAATGGCCCCCATTTATAATGGGCTGACCCAGCGCCCCCCAGCCCCACAATGCCCCTGATCTGGATGAACATCTGGATCTGAATTTTGCATGTTCAGCCTATTTCTCATACTTTTATCCAACAAACTTTAGAAATCAACTTACCGATGAGGACAGAACTTCCAGGATTTAGCACCATCCTTGTTCCTGAAGGAGAGGTCAGCACTGAGGGAATATCCGGCCCCGTGATTAAAAGCATTGTTGTCAAATCTTCTAATTGAAGGAGGGTTTGTGGGGGATCTGGAAACAGATTGAGAGACTGAGATGACAAAGAAGACCATAGCGGATAAGATATTGAGGAAGTTTTAAACCAGCTGTCACATTATTTGCTGTGCTGGAATATCAGCATTCCAAAGGGGACATACTAGGTAACATTGGACAGCATTAGAGGTGTGCTTTGCCTGATGTATCAGATACGTGAGGAGGCAGGGCAGAGGTTAAAATAATAATTCAGGGTCAGGCACAAGCCCGCAAATGCTAAGAACATTTGCATTAAGGCTATCACAGCATCTTTTTTGTGACTAGCCAGGCACTGCAGCACATTTTGTTCAGTAACAGATACAGTAGCTCAGAACAGATGGTAAATTCACATAGCACAGCCAATACAGTATCTAGTCATAACATACTACTGCTTGAAGTCAGGGCCGGCTCCAGGCACCAGGCACCCAAGCTGGTGCTTGGGGCGGCACCTGGAGGGGGGCGGCGCGGCACTCTGGCCGCCGGGGGGAGAGCCGAGCCCCCGCCGGGGCTCGCCGCCCTGCCCCCGGCGCTCTGGCCGCCGGGGGGAGAGCCGAGCCCCCACCGGG